GGGACTATTCATCTTTAACCTACAAGAGATGCACATTAAGAAAACATTTCACACATGTCTCAACCCAGATAGACATCTCCATATATAAGCAATTGACTTTTGAAACTGATGAAGTACAAGAACAAAAGCTCCAAACACTTCTTATGTGCCTGGATATACTTAAATAAAGTCCTATAGTTTCCATCCTACGGTGTAAACAATGTCTAACTACAAGGTAGAAATTGACTTTTATGTGCATTACCGCATTACCATCAAACTTTCTATCTGCATTGAGCAAGAAAATCTCACAACTGAAGGGCAAACTACATACCGAGGTTTTGCATGTTGGCAGGGTTGAGGTAGTATCAATACTCTGCTTTTTTTCAAACAAGTCATCAATATCAACTTCTTCAGGCTGGATATCCCCTGCAAATATACTAAATCCATGTTATGAATCAAAGGCTGATTCTATGTCTATCAGAACGCTTCATTTGCCAAGATAAAGTACTCAAAGTATTTTTCGTGCCAAGAAGCAGCATGTTAGCATACCAGTTTCTGCTCTTTCTATCATTACGCAGCCATCTTCTCCCAATGTAGCAATTACAAATTTGGTACTTGGCAACTTTAAAAGCATGGAAATTAGTCCGCCTGCTATAGAGGAGCCTCGTTCCATATCTGAGAGACAAACGGCTTTATTCAATTTTCACATGCTTAACTTATGGAAGACTGTAAGGGGCCTTTGATCATAGAACCAAGACGCGAAGGATGACATTCACTTCTATTAGATATCGTACCAAAATCAATTCTATACCATGATTACGTGGTACATCAATTTTAAAAAGATATTTTATCCACAACAGTTGCTATAAATATTTTGGACAAACACATCACTAGAAGAAAGAAAGTATAACAAATTTAATTTTCGAAACAAACTAAAACTTGCCAACTGATGCTAATCTTATATAGTAGATCCATGGAAGTCCAATCAAAATGTGTACCAAATAAATCATCGAAGGTCAGTCTGCCAGAGTAAATAGCTTACCTTTGGAAATCTTGTTGAGAAAACAATGTGTTGCCAAGTGCAGAAGCTCATCCAACCCTTCTATTTTTCTTTCTGCATCAATCATAATTGGTATACTCCTTTGACGTGCCTGCGCTAAAGATCAAAAGGCATGCAGTTTTTTTCCATTTAGCTGAAAATAATCAGCAAGTCCCGAGGCATTAAGAACAAAAGCTAGAAACAGAATTATGTCCAGTGCTCTTGGTGTGCCGAAGCTTAGTGGAAGACTAGAAATATGATCAGAAGTTGATTGTAAATACATTCTATTAGAAAGCAGAAGCTCGAATTAAATAACAAGGAAGACCATTGAAAATTACCTCTTGGGCCACAACTAAAGCAGCTTCATGAAGTACTCCATCAGTATAGACAACGTCGCACCATCCAATGCAGACGACAAACTCGAGTCTGGCAAATCATCAGCTACCATGGGTGGATACTCTGGTGTGTAGATAGAAGTTCGTGTTTTCTTGAGATATCATATAACAAATATCAGCTTCAGAAGAACAAGTTACAGAACGATCATCTGTCCAATTATACGAACCAACATGCAGTAAAGATAGAAAAATGACCTTTTTTCCCCTTGGACATAAGGCAGAAAGAAATTTCGAACAGAAATGTAGCCAGCAGACCATTTTTGTACTTGAGGAATTAGTAAAGAAGAGAGGGGAAAAAGAAGTCACAGGACATATTGCTTATGAATAAATACTTATCCACATTTGGAGTCTACTAGCATATAGCATATTCTAAAACGATGAATTCCGTGTGAATAGTTTTAATATTGTAGCTGATCTAGACATCAAATAATATATCAAAAGAATATGTCTACGAAATGAATTTGCAAAAACAGTACTCGTAAATCATCCATCTCATCACCCAAGAGAAAGCTCAATGAATGCCTATAAAACATTTACTAAAAATGGGATTAAACAGAGTTGAGTAGTGACGTTTGACTGTCAACAATGACATAAGAGATTGTTGAATGGCACCCTTTGGACACCTGAAATATGTTACAATATGATGTTAAGAGGTAAATTTGATGCTTCAAAAATTTTAATTGACTGAATAGGCGCGCTGCAAGCTACATCATCCTCGCATACAAGAGAAAAGTGTAAGATGCACAAAAACTTTCACAGTTAACCTGTGGCTGGCTCACCACAATAAAAGATGTATCAATGCCATCAGCTTCTAGCTCGTTCAGTATTCTTTTCCCTTGAGAGTCATCCGCGACCTACTAAAAAAATTGTGGGAAATGTAGAGAATATTATTCACATAATTGTGGAAGGGTTGGAAATGGATAGAAGGGAAAACTAAGAAGAACATCAAGGAAGATAATCAATGATACAACGGTGGCAGGAACAGTAAAGTAGCAGAATCAAAGGTAGAGTATATACAGACCACTACCTCGTTGGAAAGACCTCTGAAATGAAAAAAAGGAATAGGCAACAAGAAGCCACATAAAGTTTAGACCTTGGATATACTTCTTGGAGTTAAACCCAAACGAGCTGCACAAGTCATAGCATTCCCAATATTCCCACCTCCATGAACCTATACAAAACCAATTATCCATTAAATTCCAATGAAAAATAAAAAAATTGAGCTCAATCTTTCAGATTAATAGCATAGAAAAATCAATTAGACCTGAAAACTGGTGCTACGAATCTTATCATCAGGCTTAGGATAAGAATCAACAGTAACCAAGTAATCCAATGCCGCCATCCCACAACCCAACTGCTTCAACCACCAAAAAATAAAAATTAAACCTCTCGTTTCAATTTGTTTGTCCTACTTTATTTTTGTCTGTCTTATTCATAAATTCTGCGTCAAATCAAAATCAGACAAACAAATTGAAGCGGAACAAGTTATTAGATAAACCAAATCTAAGAAAATCTTAAGAAGTGATAATCAACAGGTAATAACGAGGACTAGATGAGTACACACAACAATGGTGTCAATTGGGATTGCTGACCCAGATGGGGTTGAGTGAATCGACATTTTAACCATAAATTTTCTGCAGTAATAACCAAAAAATAGCTCAATTAACACAAAATGGGAAAGACCCAAGTTGGAGATTTTAAGAAATAAAAGTTGTTGATTGTATGAAGAACCTCGAATAAGAAAGTGTGAAAAAATGGAATTTTGAAATTGAAAATATTTTTTAAAAAACAAACTTAATTTTTTTTTTTAAGGGGCTGTGGTAGGGGGATGGGTGCGTTAGGGGTCGAGGGTAGGGGTGAAAAAATGAAATTTTGAAGTTGATAATATTTTTGAAAAACAAACTTAATTTATTTTTTTTAAGGGTAGGGATGGCGAGTAGGGGTGGGTGGGTTGGGGGGATCGAGTGTAGGGGTGGAAAAACTAAAATTTTGAAGTTGAAAATATTTTGTAAAAACAAACTCAATTTTTTTTTGGAAGGGGGTTGATAGGGGGGATGATGGGAGGCGAGGGTTAGTGGGTGGGGGTAAAAAAATAAAAAATTGAAATTAGAAATATCTTTTAAAAATAATTTTAATATTTTTTTGGGAGGGGATGGGGAAAAAAATTGAATTTAAAAACAACCTTTAATTTTTATTTTTTTTGAAGGGGTGGTTGGGGGCTAGTTTGAGGGTAGGAACAAAATAAAGTGATTTTTTCAACAAAAAAATAATTGTAATTTGAAGTTGGGAAGAGAGCTTTGAAAAATGTTTTCCTTAAGTTTTGAAGGGAAGTCATTTTCCTTAAATTTGAGGAAAATGAGTTGATTTGGAAAACATTTAACCCAATCAAACATTTTCCTTCGTACCAAACACACCCTTACTCATCATTTCTTTTCCCCTTACTTTGCCCCATTTTCTATTCAATTTCTATAATATACACTACAACTCAGTTGCTAAATACAACAGTTCTCAAACCACCATTATACCGTCTTTATCGGAAATTCATGAGGTACTCCCACTACAGACCACATGATATACTTCCTATTTCGAGAATGTGCTCCCATGCTGCAAACACTCAAATCTGAATTGAACTGAACACTGTAACGCTTATCAGTTTCCCATACCTCAATAGCTCCTATAAGTGTCGGAGTATGAATTAAATATAAAAAGGTAAACACTTGTGTCAAGTTGAAGAAAGTTTAATATCTAATTTTAACCACCTATAGCTTATGTAATTTTCCACGGGAGATTTGGATGAACTCCTCAGATTAGGGGGGAAATAGTTCCTACTTTTTTTGTTTGTTTGTTTGTTTTTACATTTTCAGGTATAGATAATATTGTAATTTGTGATTTTACTAGTAATACATGTTACTATAATATTTTTAATTTTCTAAAGTATGATATATTGAATCCAATTTGTCAATTGAACTTCACGGGGAACATATATAAGTTGAGTAACTATTGGGCATTGGCCACATTATAGACATACAATTTTATTTTTATCTTTTTTGTTTCTCACGCCCAGCGTCTTTAATATCTATATTAAAGCTTGATTAAATTTAAATTTGTATCGAAAAATCTCATATTAAATGATAAAATGCTCCTTAATAAAAACAATTCGGACTTGAATCGGAGAATTTTGACAAACAATTTAATTTTGTTTTTACCTCAAATTGGGTTGGGGGATTCAAACACGTCAAGGGAATAAAATAGGAAAAATTACTTGGATGGGTGCCTTTTAATAAATAATTACTGATTTTAGCGATACTTTTTATTTATTACCATTTATAGCAATACTATGTTAAATCTGCAATATGTATTAAAAGTGAATTAAGTATGCAATATATATGTATTATAATTATTTTAAAAAATATATTATGCTTATTTGGTAAGAAGTTGACACATTATATTATAAGTGTATTAAAATGTATGATAAATGTATTATCCATCAATAAAACTTGTATTATATGTGAATAATAAATTATTCTTTGTAATATGAATTAAAAGTGTATTATACATGTATTAAAAGTGATCAAGTGAAAAAAAAATGTTATTGCTATAAATGGTAAATATTTTTTATTTATAGTATATTTATGTAAGTTTCCCAATAAAATACTATGTAATGTCAGCCCACACAATTTAGAGTTTTAACTTTTAAGTTGTGTAAAACAAAATTTATCCAATTAAGTCACTTGTAAAATAATTATATATAAATTCTTACGATAAATATTAATTATCTTAGAATGATAATTACACAGGTTAAGCTATCTTACACATTAATTATGAATTAAATAAGACGATAACTAATACCGTAACATCTTTAATCGTTATCTTGAAGTCCATATTAATGAAACCTTCAAAGAAGCACTATATATAAATTAAGAAAGAAAGATTTTTGAGTTTTTAAAATTTATAATCAGATAACAATAACTTGTTAAGATATAACACAAAAATTAATGAACTTTTATTGATATAAAACAAAATATAGTGGTCTCCCTTCATAATTTCCTTTGAGTGAACTCTTGAGAAATTTACTCTTATAACTAGCCTAACTCATATGGGCTTAGATTTTGTCACTCCAAAATCTAGCTCAACCACAAGTCCCCAATGATTTGAAAGGCTTTAGCAAGTAGTATATTATTACAAGCCAAATCACAAATTACAAAATATTCAGGTGCGTAATATATAGAAAAGTAGTTTACTAAATTGAGCAAATATGACTAAACAGTTTATCTATCTCCACAAGACAAGACAGAGATAAAAGATCTGCATATATACCATCCTTGTCAGATTTCATATGTGGAATTACACTATTGTTGTTATATTGGTTCATTAAAATAATTCACAAACTTATGATAAAGCATCGTTAGTCTTTCGTGGAGTAGTGTTTGGTTTAGTAACTGAGTTGCAGAGTATAAGATAGAGAGTGAGTAGAAAAGGGAGGTGAATGGAGGGTAAAGAAGAGATGAGTAAAATGCAAATGTGAGAGGACCAAATATATCCCTAACCATTTTAGCATATTTTGAACATGTTGTTGAAATGTAATTAATCTGAGCATCGTAGGCAAAACAGTATATGAGGAAACTCACAATGGCCAAATATATTTGTATAGGGTGAATTTCAAAGGGGGACGTTACTTGTCTGGTACTTGAGTTGGAGAAGCTCAACCATAGCTGGGAAAATGAAAGATATTAGTATGTTTCTGCGTTGACAATAAGAAGGGGATATGAAGGTATAGTGCTCTTGGTGAGGAAAATAATTAATGTTTATGATATTGATCTGCCCATTAATGGAGTTTCGTCCATGGACATAACTTCTGCGACGTATAGCATCCGCCATTAAAGAAACAAAGTTTCACAAAACACTTGGGAGAAATTAAGTTATCGGGAGTAGTATGTTTTTTCTCTTTAAACATTGATATATAAAATTCAGTGTTTTTGGCTAAGCCTTTGGTTTTATTTTTTGTGGTGTATATTTTCTTATACTTACTCCAAATATATATAGAGGAGCTTGCAAAATCAATGTAAATATTGAACATCGGATAAAAAAATCAAAAAGAAAAAAGCCCACAAACAGGTCAACAGGGTCGTTTAATTTAAATCAAGTGTTTTTGGATCTTCCTCTTCATTTCCCACCCAAATATTGCTCAAAAGACAAATTATGTGTCGTGTTGGGACCCTAAAGTGTTTGCTAGCACGTGCACTCTTTTTTAATAGTAACAAAATAGTGTTTGCAAGCACGTGCACTCTTTTATACTAATTAATAGTAACAAAATAATGTTTGTTTGCTATTATGCTGAAGTTTTTTTTTATAGCAAGTATTTCTACTTGGTTTAATACATATAGTAAATTTCTTAAACTTGTTAAGATATTTTATTTAGATAGACAAATTAAGCCTTATTTAATTCAACATCTCTAACTCTTATCTTAATAAAATGTTCTAGGTATATATATACTTTTGTTTAAATTTTATTTTTTATATTTGTTCTCATTCGTTCTTAAGTAGTTAAATTACATATATAAATAATGTCATCTTCTTTAATTACACACGCTGATCTCGAGTAGAAAACCCTTGATGAATTTTATAGTTGTCCTAAGGTTTCAACACTGCGTTTGCCAAAGCAATTCAATATTATTCTTTTTAAAACTCACTTTATTATGGTTATTTTTAAGTGATTTTGTCCAATTTGAGAAGATTAGATAAAAAAAAATTATAACCATATAAATATCGTGACATGTTTAAGATCATAAGCTCTAAAAATCTTACCTTCATTCAAATATTATAAATTTTATAATTTCCCTTTTATTTAAAAAAATGTCCAATTTAAATAAGTAAAATAATAAATCAATTCGAAAAACTTTATATTCACATATTGGGCATTGCTCCTCGGGCATCACCCTTTGTCTGGTGTTTAATTGGAAATAAGTAAAATAATAAGAGATTAACTTCTCTTCCGTGACAAACTAAGACAAGAAAATTATATCATCAGTTTATTTTTAGAAATATTTATTTTTTATAATGTGTTCATATATTATAAATATTTAAATAAAAATAACAAAAAAATATTTTATTGTAACTTAAACTCTAAATTAATTATAAGAGTTTGTTTAGAATTCTTATTTGGTTGCCAAAAATAAGAAGGATTCTTTCACCGCTTTCTTGTCCTCGTTATTTTCACCTCGTTTTCCATCAATGCCATTGAAGCAATTTGAGACAATCATCAAGTAACATTTTACTCTCTTTTTTTTCCTTTTAAAATCTAGACTAATTAATCTCATAAAATAATTATTCATAACTTATTAAGTCTTCACAACATGAAAAAGTTTGTGAATAGGTACGTTATTTTCACCTCGTTTTCCATCAATGTCATTGAAGCAATTTGAGACAATCATCAAGTAACATTTTACTCTCTTTTTTTTCCTTTTAAAATCTAGACTAATTAATCTCATAAAATAATTATTCATAACTTATTAAGTCTTCACAACATGAAAAAGTTTGTGAATAGGTACTTCTATTGCTTCACACTATATTTTCTCTTCTTAATTCGTTCAATCAACAATACAAAAATTAATTGAAAATAAACTTTGATTCGTATATATCATATGTACTCTAATTTATTTAAATAATACTCAAAGTTGATAGTACCAAAAATATTTGAACGTTCTTTAAAAAAATAAATCTTAAGTCTTTAAAATTTATTTTTAAAAAATA